TTTTTTTTTTTTTTTTTTTTTTTTTTTTTTAAGTCGATAATGAAATAGTTGTGGCCATTGGCTTGGGGTTTTCTACAAGCGGGACATCATTGTACCTGCATGTAAGTGTGTACTCCATTATGAAGCGACTTGTGACTTCTTTAATATCAATATTAATAAAGTTTCTATAATGTTTATGTAATCTCTCAGACCTCACACATAAATTTATAAAAATTGAACTAAGTTAAATAAAGTGAAGTGGGATGGCATCCCAACTGAAAGCTGCGCCTTTACTGATTAGTGGTAGAGGTTATGTTCGTTAAACTTTAAAGTAGTACGTGTTTGTGTATTCACTCGTGTCAAGAAATTGTGTTCCATCATAAACGAGCGTGAGACTCATCTCTTTAATTGAGGAAACCGATCCACGATAGCTCGAAACTCGTCCTCTAACAGGGTACTCTCCCGAATAATCCTCGCCAATAGAGAACAATATCTCCCAAGTAGAATTTGAGATGCGTCCAAGTCGAGAAAAGCAACCATGGTGAAGTCGAACTTCGTAAGTTTTATTGAAGAACGGATGGAATGGGAATACTCCTCCAGCTATGGAACTCCTCGATGATCGACATGAGGCTTACAAGTACCTCTAGCGTGCTCGTCAAAATCCCTTGGTGACGCTCGGAAGCACAACCATTGTTGAAAATAAAGCTTCGGCCCTCTATGTACAAGGTTGGCCAACCGATAGATGCTCGTATGATGGAGAGGATGGAGCAAAGGACTCGGTTTCTTCTTTTTCAAACAAGGGAGCCATTGAAGCCCGAAGAGATTGATTGCAGTTCTCCGGTTTCTCCATAATCTCATCTAAACCACTACAAATAATTGTTATATTCCAACGGAAAATTTTATGGTAATATATTCCAATGGAAATTTCAACGGATATTCCAATGGTATAGCTTCCGTTGGAATGGTTACAACGGAATTTCCGTTGTAATGTATTTTTTCATTGGAATTTTAGATGAAATTTGATGATTCCAACGACTATATTTCCAACGGCTTTTTATCATAAGAATTTCCGTTGGAATATGCAAATTCCGTTGGAATTTTTATTTTCACCCCCGTTGGAAAATCCACTGTTGGAATCGTCAAAATCCAACAGAAATTCTAATGAAAAACCCATTCCAACGGAATATTTTTGTGGGAATTTCCGTTGGAATCCATTGAAAAATTTCAATGGAAATAGTAGTATTGAAATATCCATTGGAATTGTCGTTGGAATAATTCTTTTGGAATAGATTTCCGTTAGAATTTCATCATTTTCTTGTAGTGAACGGCTCAGAGAGGTTCTCGAGTTGGCTCGGGTGGAGATCTTGAATAATAATAAAAATAATAATAATCGGGAGGCAGATAATAGTAGTAGTCCAGAGGTGGACGATTGAAATAAAGGCGGCTCGTCGTGACCCAGAATGTCATAACCATAATCGTCTCGAGATGTCGAGTAAAAATGACTCGGGCCATACCCATGGGACATATAGTATCCGTCATAAGAGTAAGAATTTGAATAACTCGGATATGAACGGGGCATCTCTTCATACGTGTACATCTCCTCTTGATAATTGTCGGGGTATCTACGAGACGAGCTTCCGGCATAAGATTAGCCATGTGGATCCTTTGGAACCCCTCAAGTGAATTACATCGCACAAGAACAACAACAACCCAAGGCGCACGAGACCTAGACAAAAAAAAAGGTACAATATTTACAAAATCACAAACACTAAATAGCAAGAGAAATCGAAAACAAGCAAATAACCAAGAGCAACACACAAAATTAAGATCACAAAAAGCAAGAGTAATACGGAAAAAGCCAATCAATTGTCTAAATCCAATGGCCTACTCGCCTTCCTCGGCAACGACGCTATTCTTTTTTTTTATTATTATTTTTAGCCGAGTACAGAATAAACTCAAACCTCGGGTTGTGTCTCTCGAGAAAGGTCGTTCGAACACAGATTCAAGCATCGATTGACTCACACAAGAAAAGAAAATAAAGATTCTAAACATTATACTCGCGTTTTGGGTTTTGGATTAAGCTAAAGAACACAACTTTAAACTAAAACGAAAGCAAGAAGTGAACTCAACTAGCAAGGCCTTCAATTGCAAAAACAAAATGGAAAATAAAGAGAAAATTAACAAGGTGTGCCCTAATACCCGAGATGGAAAGAAGACACTCATAGGTTCGTGAACATGCAATCAAGCAATCGTCACTCACGAATCAATTAATCGAGCTCTCAATCAATTTTCGCTCACGCAATCAACAATAAAATCACATAATCCCTAGCCTACGAGGATCAATGCATATTCTACTCATGAAAGCTCCTACATTTACCCTAGAAAAATTCAATAAATAAAGGAAAGAAAAACCTCACGAGATCTTAGACCTTTAACGAAGTCTTCGATTGGACCTTAAACGAAGTCTCCAAGTCTCTAGTGCATGCACGAGAAGAAATAAGCCGGAAAGTTGCAATCTTGATGGAGAAATATTACAATAAAAATTGGGTCTATGAGCCCTTACAAAGAGAAAGAAAATGTAGAGAGAGAAAGAGAGAGAAACTAAGATGAAAAATCTTTCAAATGAGGAATTGTTCTAAAAGTACGAAGCAATAAGTCTATTTATAGCTATACCACAAACACACACTAAAACACACACAATTAATGATTAGAACTCACGAGCAAAGTCATTTTCGCGTGCAAGTTCGCCCAAGTCACGAGTGTGAGGGTTGCTAGTGGAAACTCGCGACCTAAGCAAATTTAGATTCGCGGACGTGGGCTGGCAGGGTGCGCGGACGCAGGCTACTGGGAGGAGCACTTACGAGCTGGGCGAGTGCAATTCGCAGGCGCGGGCTGCAGTTGCTGAGCGCGCGCGGAACTTACAAGGCAGGTAAAGTGGTTGCGGGCACGGGCTGCAGGTGCTGGGCGCGCGTGGAACTTGTGAGACAAGCGAAGTGGTTTCGCGGGCGCGGGCAGGCACGAAGCGTGGGCGGGCACCTCGGGCGCGCAGGCGCTGGGAGCGAGGTCTCGAAACTTTTGTCGAGGCGATTGCCGGGGACTCTATAGGAACTTTCAGACAACTTTTCGACTATTTTCCGCGACTCTCCGGAATGCAAATTTCCTACAAAATAAAAGATCAAAAGAGAAATAAAAAGCACAAGACACAAAAATACACGAAAACGCAAAATCGAGCAAAAAACGAATAAATGGACCGAGAAAAACCTAAAATAAAAGGAACACAAATAAAACACAAAAAAGACACAAAATAACAACAAAAACATACAAAACAAGTCCCCCACACTTAACTCTTTGCTTGTCCTCAAAAAGCAAAACAATAAGTAGTTTGAGAAGAAAGATCGAAAAGTCCATAGATAATGATCATGCGAAATTAAATTCTCTTCTTCCTACGGTTACAATGGTACATGTAATTTAAGTGAGTATTAATCTGCCCAAAAGAAAGGGAGTGCTCATTAAAATTACTTGTGCTATTGCGGTAATAATGTGTGATGATTATTTGGTTATACATATAACAATAAGTCGGTCCAAAGGAAGATTTATTATTTGATATGTTCTTATTGTCAATGTTTGATTACTTTATCAAAATGTCAATTACAAGTTAATATTTTGTCCAAAGATAAAATATTAATGGAGTTACAGTGTCCTGAGATGGGGTTACCTTTATTTGAATTTATTATTTTAATTCTAAGTATTTTGTTGAGCATGATAAGTTTATTTATTTATTATTATTTTTTTTTTTTGCATTTAACTATGTCTACTTTTGCATGGCAAGAGAATTTTTTAATAGTTCTCGGTGTCATGGATCACGACCTTGCGATAAGGTCTGATTCTCCACCTCCTTTTACGGATAACAACACTTTGAATGAAAAGAGGGACGTTGAAAGGTGAGAGAATCCGAATCGCATGTATATGATGATCATAAAGAAGGCCATTACGGAAGCATTCAGGGGCATTATGTCTGAAAATATCATTATAACAAAGGAATTCCTTGCAGATATTGAGAAATGGTTTGCCAAGAACAAAAAGGCTGACTTGGTACGCTCTTGGCAAATCTTATCTCAATGATGTATGGTGGTAAAGGTAATATTAGGGAATACATTATGTAGATGTCTCATACTGCTTCAAAATTAAGAGCACTTAACCTTGAACTCTGTGAGAAATTGCTAGTGCATTTTGTTTTGATATCTCTTTCGGGTCAATTTAACCAGTTTTAGGTGAGCTATAACTGTCACAAGGAGACTTGATCTCTGAATGAGCTCATTTCGTACTGTGTCCAAGAAGAGGAGAGGTTGAGGCAAAATAAGACAGAAAGCTCTAATATTGTCTATACTTCCAAAAATAAGGGCAAAAAAACAAAAAGAAATAAGGATAAGGAAGCTGCAAATACAGTCACACAAAATAAACAACAAACGACACCTAGTGTGTCTAATGGTGTCAATTATGATACCAGTTCAGGTATTTTCTTTTGTAAGGCCGAAGGACATACAAAGAAGCAGTGTACCAACTATCACTCTTGGCGTGCTAAGAAAGGTTGCCTCCATTTTCGAAAACCAAGTGATGGTGAAGATACATCTATGTGTGTGACGACAAGACAATTGAAGTTGAAGCAATTGGAAAATTTAGATTATTGTTAAAGATTGGATATTATTTGGATCTTGATGAGACATTTGTTGTTCCGTCTTTTAGACGAAATTTGATTTCTATTTTTGTTTTGGACAAAATTGGTTATTCTTGTTCATTTGAAAGTGGAAAATTCAGTTTGTTTCATGATCCAAAATTGGTTGGTTCTGGTTCTTTATGAGATTATGATAATATTTATTTACTAGATACTATTGCTTCATTCAATGAATCTCTGCATTTAAATACACGTGGTGTGAAAAGAAAATTAA